GCTGGGGGATAGCAGGCTATTTAGAGACAAACAGATTTTGCAATAATCCCTGTAGAAGCTCATGAGGCCCTGAACCTAGTGAGCAGGAGTCAGGAGAGGAAGAAGAAATAGAACCAAGTGTTTTCTTGGGGGTAATATTGCTAGACTTTGGAGAACCTTCTTTTCCAGAAAGCAAAAATTTGCCAGAGTCAAGCAAAAGAGTGAGGAATTCCATAACTGAGAGGTCACAGCCACAGCTGGGCAGAAATCATTTCATCATCCTTTTCTCAGACTGGGACATGCAGAGCATGAAATCACTGAGCTCACGGCCACCTTCACCAAGTTTGACAGAGATGGAAATCGTATTCTGGATGAGAAGGAACAGGAACAAATGCGACAGGATCTGGAGGAAGAGAGGGTGAGCTGGGTTGATGGGTGGAGAGACAGTGTAAGGAAATAGCTCACCCTCCCCTTCCCCCAACACACCTAGAACACAAACCCAACCTGAAAACTCTCCCATAGGCAGTAAAGATCTCTCTAGAATAGTAATTCCCAAACTGCTGCACATAAGAATACCCTGGGGGGGCCTTTAAAAATCTTCATACTCAGGACACACACTCTAGACCAATTAAACCAGAATCTCTGGGTGTGGGGCCCAGACATCAGTACTTTTAAAAACTCTCTAGGTGATTCCAGTACATAGCCACGGTTGAGAACCATGCTCTAAAATACAGGCTCAGGGAAAAATGACCAATTGCCCAAGAATCACTGATAATTCCCTCAGAGGACTTACCTTCTTCTGGGAATTTTCAAATTCGGATTCTTGGCTGTCCCTACTCTGCCTGCTCCATCCCAATCCAGTGTAGACCAAAAAAAGTCAAAGGCAGGGTGACAGCAGTCTAGAAAGTGCCAAGAACACTGGTAGTGTCCCTCCTGTGCTAAAATGAGTTGGCCTCTAGTAAACACCTCATCCATCAAGGCTTCTAGGATCTTGTGTTTTCTTTGAGAGGTGACTCCTCCAGAGGTTGGTCCAGCACCACCACCCTGACCCTATTGTCTCCAGAGTCTGGGAGGGAAGGGGAATAGCAAGAACTAGAACCTGAGGCTTGATCCTGAGATCCTGGTAGAGGGGGTGATAGAACAGGAGCTGATGGCTTCCCAGAGTTATCTCCTTCCCTCTAACCTTTGACTTCCTGAGCAGGTGGCCCTCAACACTGAGATTGAGAAACTAGGCCGATCCGTTGTGAGCACCCCACAAGGCGAGTCTGGTCCAGAGGCTGCCAAAGCAGGAGGCTGGGTTTCAGGAGAAGAATTCTACATGTATGTGCAACCAAGAAGGACTGGCTCAGGGCTTGCAACGCTTCTGTTATGACACCCTATCTTGTACTTTTTCCCACAACTTTCCAATTCTCTGTCCTACCCCAGGGAGAACCTCTGCTCCCCTTTAATTCTGCCTACAAGGCTGGGTCTTCCCTTCCTGTTCCAATCCGGACACATGCCCTTCTGTGAACCCTGCCTCTTTAGACATCCAGTCCCCAGACATAGATTTCTGCTCCATTAGTCTCTCTCAAATCCCTCACAGGCTCACAAGGAGAGTTCTGCAGCTGGAGACTGTGCTGGAAGGAGTAGTGTCCCAGGTTGATGCTGTCGGCTCAAAGTTGAAAATGCTGGAGATGAAGGGGTGGCTGGTTCCCTCCCCAGGAGTGGTGAGTGGCCCTTCACCTGGTCCTCCTAGTTCTTCACAGCTGAACTCTGCCATCTTTTCCACTCAGTGGGTGGGGCAAGAGTATTTTTGAAAGACCTATGTTTTCAGGCTCCTGGGGAAACATGTTTACAGTGGTCAGCGTATCAGCAGAGATGGGTCATGGAGATAAGGCCTGGAAGTTGCTTGCCCTGGCCTAAGGGCTGCCTTGGCCACTCTGAGATGGTCTGTGTCAGTCTGTTTGGGCTGATATAATACATTATCATAGACTGGGTGGCTTATAAGCAACACAGGTTTGTTCCTTACAGTTTGGGAGGCTGGGAAGTCTAAGATCAAGATGCCAGTAGATTCAGTATTTGTTGAGGGCCCACTTCCTGATTCATAGACAGCTGTCTTCTTGCTGTGCCCTTTCATGGTAGAAGGAGTAAGGGAAGTCTCTTTTATTTTATTATTTTATTTTATCTATTACCATTTTTTGAGATGGAGTTTTGTTCTTGTTGGCCAGGCTGGAGTGCAATGGCACGATCTTGGCTCACTGCAACCTCCGCCTCCTGGGTTCAAGTGATTCTCCTGCCTCAGCCTCCCAAGTTGCTGGGATTACAGGCATGCGCCACCACGCCCAGCTAATTTTGTATTTTTAGTAGAGATGGCGTTTCTCCATATTGGTCAGGCTGGTCTCGAACTTCTGACCTCGGGTGATCCACCCACCTCAGCCTCCCAAAATGCTGGGATTACAGGCATGAGCCCATTCATATGTGCTACATATTCACTATCTAATCCCCTCCCAAAGGCCCCACCTCCTAATACTATCACATTGGGGGTTACAATTTCAATGGATGAATTTGGGAGGGATGCAAACAGTCTGAGTTCTCTGGAATCAGATACAGAGAAAAGAAAAGTGGTACACAAACTATTTATTCAAATGATTTGTCCCTTTCTTCTTCCAACAGGAGGAACAAGCTATTTGGAAGCACCTGCAGCCAGCCCTACCTGTGACCCCAGACCCCTGGGGAGTCCAGGGTGGGCAGGAGAGTGGTGAGGAAGGGGGCCTAAAGCATCAGACAGCAGGCTCCCCTCCCTCTGCCTCCCCACAGGCCCCCTCACCACATCCCCTGCACTTCTAGGACAACAGGTCCCATCATGGCTGCTGCTGAGCCCTACCCAGAATCTGGCCTTTTGAGCCAATGTTTGTGTGTGTGGTGGGCATCATGCTTAGGCTTGTGACTCAGTGTTTCTGTGTGTTGCCACATAGCTCTGTGAAATAACATCTTCCACTGGGCCTTTTACTCCCTGTGTACTTAGCTCTGTGTGTTAATTAAAAAAAAAAAAAATTAGCAAACAGGATAAAGGGAGGGAGGGTAATGGTTCTTCCTAAGCACCTGGATAGCCATGCTTTGTGAAAAAGGTAGAAACCAAGAGAGTAGACAGTATCTACATGTCTTCCTACTTCCCAGTGAATCTTATTCTTATCCTTTGTGCATCCCAAGATCTGTTGCTAGCACCCATGGGTTTCTCGTTTTCCCCTATAGAGGTTCCCTATAAAAGAGAGAGGAAGCCTTAGAGGACAGGAGACGCTCAAGTGGTGAGATTCCAATGTTGCAGAGGAATTAAGTGTGAGGCACTCCTGGAGCAAAGTCTATGAAGGATCTTCTGCAAGAGGCTGCCTCCTGGTCCACTGAACCTGGGAACTGAGTGGGCTTCAACCAGGAGATAAAAGTGGAGCCTGAAAGGAATCAGGCAAGGAAATGACCTCAGGATTCAGAGATCTTTGAATTAATATGTGGTGGGTTCTGACATTATTCTTCCATAAGACCATGTGGGTTTCCATGGCGGCTATCAATAAAACTCCTTAGGAAAACTAGGAGTTTGCATTTGCTTCTGGTATTATAGAGGGAAAAAAGGCTGAAATTGTGGGCCGTCCATGTGCCTGGGCTGGAATAGTTCATGCTCTCTAGGAGGTATAGAGTAGGTGCAGTGATGTGAAGGAGCTGGGCTACCACAGGAGTCCTGAAATAAGAACTTCTAGGCCCAGCACAGTGGCTCACGCTTGTAATCTCCACACTTTGGGAGGCTGAGATGGGTGGATCACTTGAGGCCAGAAGTTCCAGACAAGCCTGGGCAAAATGCTGAAACCCTGTCTTTGCTAAAAACACAAACAAATTAGCTGGGTGTGGTGGCACGTGCCTCTAATCCCAGCTACTTGGGAGGCTGAGGCATGAGAATTGTTTGAACTCGGGAGGTGGAGGTTGCAGTGAGCCAAGCCGGGATTGTGCTACTTTACTCCAGCCTGGGTGACAGTGCAAGACTCTGTTTCAAAAAAAAGAACTGCTGGTTCACAGGAATGGCTTGAAATAGTGGCTACTATGGTTGCACCATGGGAAAAGTGAGGACAGGTGACAAGTGAGACTCAGTCCTCAGAGTGGAGACAGTCAGGGCAGGAGGGCTGGGGATAAGGGCTGGCGGGTGTGTGTGTGTATGTATATGGTGTACTGGCATTGGGGTGGGGTGAGAGGGTGCAGATGGAGGATAACCAGGGATAAGATAAGAAACTCCTACACCAAGATTTTGGGTGTCCAGGAGCCTGCTTGAGGCCTGCTGAATATCTCCTCTCCCTTCTTCTGTGGCCTTTATCCCTCCTCATTTTGCACCTTCGATTGCTCCCCAGTCACTTCTTCTCATCTACCTCTTTCACTCACTCATGTTCTCCCATCCCATTAAGTACTCTGTACACCTAGGAGGCTTGTGAAACAGTTTAAATGCAATTAAGATAACCAGAGTGTATCCTCAGCTCTAAAAAAGTTACAGTCCAAGCTTTCTTCAAGAAAGGCTGTATCAACTGAAGAGAAGTAGATGCCTGTCTGCAGTTTAAGAAATAGGGGCCAGTGAGTTGGTGTTAACCCAGGACATTGGGAGGGAGAGTATTTAGAACCAGGGATTAATGCCTGAATGTTTCCCCAAAGCGTGGACGAGACAACCTGTAAAACTTTGGATTCCGAGCCATCTTTTGATGACTAACTCCAGTTCGGAGTGTCATGGGAGGGGGCAACCTGTCTTTAGTGGTTTTGTTCAGCAGGCCACAAACAGGGTTGACTATTCCCAGACGGGTCATGAGTGGTACAAGACGAGTGATCCCTCCAGGGTGTGACTGTAGGGATGAGCTAGCCCTCATTCCCGACGTCGCGACTCTTGGCAGTGGATCGATTCATAACAGCCTGGCGTAGCTTCAGTTTCGGCTCCAGAATCACCCTTTGCTGTGTCATAGACCTGAGGCTCGACTGGACTGCGAGGCACAGGACTGCAGGGCCGCCCGGGTGGGCGGGGCATATCTGGTGCGCATGCGCAGCACCCCGGCCCGGAAACAGTGCAGGATCAGCCATGGCGGCTGCAGCCGAGGGTGTACTGGCTACCCGGCGTGATGAGCCCGCTAGAGGTACCCGGAATGGATGAGGAGGAAGCGTCCGGTGGTGGGCCTGGGGCTCCGTCTCGGGAGGGCAAGGTTGAGTGTGTGGTTGGCTCACCTGGCAGGAACGGGCTGGTGGGAGGAGTGCATTTGTCTCTGCGCGCGAGTGTTTGTCCTGTCAGGGTGACGGATGGTTTAGCAGGGGTGCCGGGTATCGGCGAGGGGCTGTGCGAGGGAGGCGAGTTGGTGTGTCAGATGGGCAGGGACGCCGTGAAGGACTTGAAATTATGGCAGATGGAGAATGGAGCCGACTTGATGGAATGAAGGCAAGTGGAGGGATGTCGGAACAGGCAGTTTTGGCTGGATTAGCACCGGGTGTAGGCGGGACACTTAGTCATTCTCCCTTGGCCCAGACGATGCCGCCGTGGAGACAGCTGAGGAAGCAAAGGAACCTGCTGAAGCTGACATCACTGAGCTCTGCCGGGACATGTTCTCCAAAATGGCCACTTACCTGACTGGGGAACTGACGGGTGAGACTGGGTCTGGGTTGATTCGAGTGCGGTTTGGCCCGAGAGGCCTGGGAGATGGTTAACAGCATCAGTCTACAGCTCCGTTCCTACCCTGCATGCCCTGAGACAGGCCTCTTGGAAGTTTGGGGACGTCATGAATGGGAGAGAAAGAGAATACAACTCTGCAGGCCTCTGTAACATAGACTAATGAGAAAACAATAACAAAAAAGAGTTAATATCCAGCAACATTAATCAAGAAGTGCTTCCTTGGGGAAAGTGTATTTTGAACAGGGTTGTGAAGGGAATTGTTGGTGGAAAAGGGGGAGATGATACAACTAGTGAATGACGTGGTATGTGCAAGCAGTGTGTTTGGCTAAAGCAGAAGATGTGTTTACTGGGATAAAGGGAAATGAGGAACGGGGAATGACCTGTAGATTTAGGGACCTATTAAGTTGGTCTGAGGATTTGATAACCCACCCTTTGGGACATGACTAGTGTTTGATCGTTTCTCAGGGACACATGACCTACGTGTGGAGGAGGATCAGAAAGTGAAGTATGGACCGGGCGCGGTGGCTCACACCTTTAATCCCAGCATTTGGGAAGCTGCTGGTGGATCACTTGAGGTCAGGAGTTCGAGACCAGCCTGGGCAAAATGGCAAAATCGTGTCTCCACTAAAAGCACAAAAATTAGCTGGCCGTGTTGGCAGGCGCCTGTAATCCCAGCTACTGGGGAGGCTGAGGCAGGAGAATCGCTTGAACCCAGGAGGTGGAGGTTGCAGGTTGCAGTGAACTGAGATCATGCCACTTGCACTCCAGCCTGTGTGACAGAGTAAGACTCCATCTCAAAAAAAAAAAAAAAGAAAAAAGAGAAAGAAAGTGAAATCTGGGTCAGTACAGCGTCTCAAAAACATTTATTAATTTGTTTCACTTCCCCCAGGAAATTACTGTAAGCTAAATTTGTGAATGAGAATCTATGAGAAAAGGCTTGATACAGAATAGTGGGGGTTGTGAATCTGTAAATTTTTTTTCTTTTTCTGTTTTTAAGAGACAGGGTCTCACTATGTTGCCTGGGCTGGTCTTGAACTCCTGAGCTCAAGTGATCCTCTTTCCATCTATTTTGGTTTTAAGCCTGGTATCCAGTCTTAGTCTGCTTCCATCCCTCAATATCTACTTGAACAAGTCCTATAAATTCCACTTCTGTAATGTTCTTGCTCCCATGCTCTCCTTTCCATTCCTTTTACCACCACTCTGCCTGAGATCTTCATTACTTCTCTTTTATTATTATTATTACTTTTTAAATATGACCAGGCACGGTGGCTCACGCCTGTAATCCAGCACTTCAGGAGGCCGAGGTGGGTGGATCACCTGAGGTCAGGAGTTCCAGACCAGCCTGGTCAACACGGTGAAACCCTGCCTCTATAAAAATGTAAAAATTAGCCAGGTGTGGTGGTACACACCTATAATCCCAGCTACTCGGGAGGCTGACGCAGGAGAATCACTTGAACCGGAGAGGTGGAGGTTATAGTGAGCTGTGATCGTGCCATTGCGCTCCAACCTGGGCGATGGAGGGAGACTGCGTCCTAAATAAATAAATAATAGAGATGAGGTCTGCTCCGTTGCCCAAGCTGGTCTTGAACTAATGGCCTCACGTGATCCTAACGCCTCAGCTTCCCAAGATGCTGGGATTACAGGTGTGAGCCACTGTGCCCAGCTGTGACTCTCTAAGTTATCAGCCTGATTATTTATTTGTTTGTTATTTTGAGCAAGAGAAACCAGGTAACAAAATGTAGACCTTTGGCTTCCCTTTAACAATTCCAAAGATTTGGCGCTACTAGCCCCTGCATTCTTTCAACTATAATTGACTAGAGCTGAGCAGCTGCCTCTTTTAAAAGGACTAGTGCTATCTAATTTGTCCTTACCACTTCCTGTTTTCTCCCCTTTACTGAGAACTAGTGTCAAGTGCCATTGATCACTGTTATTTTTATTAGTAGCAGTACAGAAATGGTTTTCTATACCAATGCCTCTGTCAAAACTGGTAAAGCAAATGATGGGCAAAGAGGACCACATATTCCAAGAAGTAAGGGGAAGCATATTTCTTCGTGGAAGTGAATAATTTTCTTATGCATTTAATGTGCAAACACTTGGCTTACTTTACTCATTTACATTATCTTGCTGGCTTCTAGGTGTTTGAATACATCACCCCAGTTTTATTTTATTTTATTTAGATGGAGTTTTCACTCTTGTTGCCCAGGCTGGAATGCAGTGGCACAATCCTGGCTCACTGCAACCTCTGTCTCCCTGGTTCAAGCAATTTTCCTGTCCCAGCCTCCCGAGTAGCTGGGATTATAGGCACATGCTACCACGCCTGGCTAATTTTTTTGTACTTTTAGTAGAGATGGGGTTTCTCCATGTTGGCCAGGCTGGACTCAAACTCCTGACCTCAAGTGATCTGCTGACCTTGGCCTCCCAAAGTGCTGGGATTACAGGTATGAGGTGCAATGCCTAGCCGTGATCTTTGTTTTAGAGAGACTAATTTGATAGCAGTATAAATATGAGAGTATAGATATGGGGGAGAGAAAACAGAGAGAGATGAGCAATAATTCAGATGAAAAGTAATAGAGGACCAGGCACCGTGGCTCATGCCTGTAATCCTAGCACTTTGGGAGGCAGGAGGATTGCTTGAGGCCAGTAGTTCAAGACCAGCCTGGGCAACATAGCACAACTCCATCCTTGTAGTCTTGTCTTTTCCCCTACCATCCAGAGGTTACATGCTCCAAGTAATCTGATAATAATAAAAGAAAAGTAATGATGATCTGAGGCAGAGTGGTGGTAAAAGGAATGGAAAGGAGAGCATGGGTACAAGAACATTACAGAAGTGGACTGTATAGGACTTGATTAAGTAGATACTGAGGGATGGAAGCAGACCAAAATGTATTTGAGGTTTTAAGCCTGGGTGGTGCCATCAGCCAAAATAGCTGGAAAGAGGAACCATGTTTAGTGTGAAAATATTTTCAGTTTTGGGTTGACTGCTTGTTGATGTAACTAGGGAACTCAGGTGACTTATACATTGGATTCCAGAGCTCAGAGACTGATCAGAGCACAAGAAACAGATTTCAGAGTCACTTTCATAGTGGTGCGATTGGAGGCTGTGCAGGATGAGATTGCCAAGGAAGAGCTTAGAAGTAGGTAAGAGAGCCTAGGCTAAAATGTCAGGGAATGTGTATATGGTGCACTTAATTTGTTTTTAATAACACTTAATGTACCTAGGTTTCCAAATGATTTATTGTATAATCAATTTTAAGCAAATTGTTCTTTTCCTATGATTGTTATTACTTGCACACATGCTTTATTGAATTTAAGAGTAAATTGATATTTCCTCTTAAACTATGCTAGTTTCTAGCATAATCGTGGGAATACCCATAGGTATGTGCTACCCACATAAACATCAGTTACGTGTTACAGCTGAGAAAAAGTTGAGCGCTGATAGTTAAGGGGGTCTGATAAGAAAGGATCTGGCATAGAAATCTAAGAAGAGCAGTTAGAGATTAGAAAATCGGTATAGTACAATGCTGTAGCAGCCAAAAGAAATGAGCATTTCTCAAAGAGAAAGAGATCAGTAATGTCCAAGACAATGAGGTTTAAGAGGATAAGAACTGAGCAAATGCCATAGATTTGGTGGTTAGCAGGGCACTGATGACCTTGGAACATGTAATCTCTGGATGGTAGGGCCAAAGACCAGACTGCAAGGGTATATGCAAGTAAATGTTAAGGAAGAGGATGTAGTGAGTGTCAGCTACTTTTTCAAATTGTTTAGCAGCGAAGCTCCTTTGCTTTACTGAGCAAATGATATAGGTGTAGCAGAATAGAGAGAGTGCTTTTGAGCTGGAGGAAATCTGAATATATTGCTATATAGAGAGGAAGGTGCCAGGAGAGAGGGAGAATTTGGAAGTGCAAGTGAAAGGAGATGATTGAAGAGAGGCCCTGAAGAAGTAGAAGTGTTTGGGATCAAGGCCACAAGAGGAGGGGGTTGTCTTGGCAAGAATAGGAACATTTCTGCCTCTTGGGAAGATGTTAAGATCCAGAGAAGTTTAAAGTAAGGCAGAGAGAAAAACAAAAAACAAAAGAAGTAAGGCAGAGAGGTTGAAGCAGCTTATGTTAATAGACTTGGCCTTTGGGAAAGTTGGAGTAGAGGCCATTTGCTTTGAATGGGGATAGGGAAAGAACTGAGGATATGAGAAGTAGACAGATGGTTTGGAAATGTCACTGCATAAAATGCAATATAGAATTATACATGGTAATAAATGAGTTAACTAAGAAGTAGTGAGGTCCTAGCTGATTGTGTGTGTGTGTGTTTGTGTGTATACATATATATATATATAAATTTTTTTTTTTTTTTTTTTTTTTGAGATAGAGTCTCACTCTCTCACCCAGGCTGGAGTGCAGTGGTGCGATCTTGGCTCACTGCAACCGTCGCCTCCTGGATTCAAGCAATTCTCTGCCCCAGCCTTCTGAGTAGCTGAGATTACAGGTGCCTGCCACCACGCCTGGCTAATTTTTTGTATTTTTAGTAGAGATGGGGTTTCACTATCTTGGCCAGGTTGGCCTTGAACTCCTGACCTCGTGGTCACCCACCTTGGCCTCCCAAAGTGCTGGGATTACAGGCATGAGCCACCGCGCCCGGCCTGATAGTATGTATATTATATGTATGTATGTTAAATGTTTTCATGCTGTAGAAGTACCAAGACTATTTTACCTCCCTTTTCTTAGGACATGAGTTTATTATTTCCCTTTGTAACCATGATCCTGACCCTTCTGGATCTTGTTTGGTTTAAATAATTTTCTGATTGTTGCCTGAATTTCTACTGAGACTTTCAGAGTACATAGGCTGAGTTATAAATATCATAGATCAAAAGTGGCCCACTCCATCGACACTTCCTTGGTCCTGCCTTGAACTACCACTTAGCCTATACTCCCACATTCTAATGATCTAAGACAAATCTTAAAGGCATTACATCTGTTTAATTTTCAAGCCACCAGTGAAGACTATAAGCTCCTGGAAAATATGAATAAACTCACCAGCTTGAAGTATCTTGAAATGAAAGATATTGCTATAAACATTAGTAGGAATTTAAAGGACTTAAACCAGAAATGTAAGTAATAATATTTTTAATTAAACATGTTTGTATTTAATGTTCTTTTGTGCCTGGGGCCATGGAGAAGAGGAGGGAACATGACATCCTTGTCTCGTGGGAGCTTGTTTTCTAAAATGAATTCTAAATTTAAGATGAATCTCTTCCATTCTGAGGATTAGTATGTTTTGTTGGTATGGTTATTTTTGCTTCTAAATCTTGATTTTATCAGTTTATTCCTGGAAGGGAGGGGGCGAAGGAGGGGTGGCCAGATTCTAATGAACTGATTTACAAATCCATAAAGGATTACTCTGTAAGCAGAAAACCAAAAACTCTATAATGGAAAACACTAATTTAGAGTAATCGAATATATTTTTTCCATTGATTTATTATTTTTGTGTTCCTTGTCTCTAGGGTACTCTTTCTTGGTATGGGAGTACCCAAGAAACAGAATCAGTAATGGAAAGATTGCTCGAGGAGCAAGAAATTGAAAAGAATGGAAAATTAGTAGATGAGAGACACTAAGTCTGGGCCACAGTTGAGGCTGATCAACTAGCTACTGTCTTCTAAAGCACCTGCCCTGCTAGTGGTCAGAATCATGTCATTCCACCTAATCTGTCTTAGCGTAGCTGGAGAGACACTAGCATTATTACTTTTCCACTCTTTTCCTATATTCCTTGTTGATAAAACCATATAAACATGAGTTTTTTCTTTGTTTTTAAAGATGCTGGACTACAGCCTTATCTGGATCAGATCAATGTCATTGAAGAGCAGGTAGCAGCTCTTGAGCAGGCAGCTTACAAGTTGGATGCATATTCAAAAAAACTGGGTAACCGTTTTTATTTTTGTTTTGATATAATAAAGAGTGCCTCTTGCCAGCATGTCCTTAGTAAACGTAATAGTTAACATTTATGGTGTGCCTACAGTGATCTATTAATCTTCAGAAAACCTTAGTAATTTATTATTATATTAATAAAAACAATATTTCCTGATTACTTAATGATATATCAGGCACTGTTCTTAGTGCTTTACATGTATTATGTTTATTTTTTGTTTTGTTTTTTTTGAGACGGGTTTCATTCTTGTTACCGAAGCTGGAGTGCAATGGTGCGATCTCGGCTTACCGCAACCTCCACCTCCTGGGTTCAAGCGATTCTCCTGCCTCAGCCCCGCCGAGTAGCTGGGATTACAGGCGCGCCACCATGCCCGGCTAATTTTGTATTTTTAGTAGAGACGGGGTTTCTCCATGTTGTCAGGCTGGTCTCGATCTCCCAAGCTCAGGTGATCTGCCTACCTCGACCTGGCCTGTATTGTGTGTTTTATCTTCTCAATAATCTGTGAGGTGAGTACATGATTTTTGTTTTGTTTTTTATATTTTTAGTAGAGGCGGGGTTTCACCATGTTGGCCAGGCTGGTCTTGAACTCCTGACCTCATGATACACCTGCCTCAGCCTCCCAAAGTGCTGGGATTACAGGCATGAGCCACCACGTCCGGCTTAAGTACGTGATTTTTATCCCTATTTTGTAGGCAAGGAAACTGGTTTAAGGGGATGAGTAGTTGCTTAAGGACACAAAGCCAGTACATGTAAGAGCCATATTTCTAAGCAGGTCTGTTTGCTTACAAAGCTCAAGTTCTTATTTATAGTTGAGAAGGCAGAAGCACCTTTAATAATGTAGATAAATGTGTCTTAAACAAATAGTCAGTTGAGGATTTTCTTGAAAGATCACTTTTCCTTTGAGGAAGAAACTGGTACTTTTAGTGCTTGTGGCTTACTAACTGGCTCTGGCTCTTATATACATGGTTAAAAGTAAAGAATTTAGTGTTTTTTTGTTTTTTTGTTGTTGTCTTGTTTTGTTTTGTTTTTATAAGAGATGAGGCCTTGCTGTGTCACCCAGGCTAGGGTGCAGTGGCGTGATCATAGCTCACTGTAGCCTTGAACTCCTGGGTTCTAGTGATCCTCCTGCCTCAGCCTCCTGAGTAGCTGGGACTACAGGTGTGCACCTTCGCATCCAGCTACTTTAAAAAATTTGTTCTTGAAACAAGGTTTTGCTGTGTTGCCCGGGCTGGTCTCAAACTCATGGCCTCAAGCAGTCCTCCCACCTCAGCCTCTCAAGTAGCTGGAATCACAGGCCTGAGCCATCACATCTGGCCTGAGTTTGTTTTTGTCCTAGATAACATTTATAGATTATTTTATTTTCATCATTTAACAAGGGCTGACTACTTCAAGGGAGTAGTTTGTAGTAGGCTGGGATTTGATATGGGTGGTGATTAACAATCAGTTTTATTTTCTACCGTTACATTTAGCCAATGATTACTGTGAACCTTACTGTGTAGAAGGCGGGGGTAACCTTACCATGTAGAAGGTATCTTGGTTCACAGTAAGCATTTGTGACAGAGTCCCTTTTTCTGTTAAAATTGTGAAACCAGGTGCTTTCATGGTTTTAATAGAAAAATGGGATGTCACAGTAAGAGGCTTATTTGATGGCCTTTTAAATTTCTGTATCTTTCAAAATTGCTTTCCTGGAGTAAGGTGTAAGGATAAGAACATAAAAGAGGAAACATACATTTATACTTCCTGAGGGTTTCAGTCTGGTTCCAGAGGGCACCTGGGACAGTGCTGAGAGAGGCAGTTTTTTAGTAAGGCTCTCGATAGGTCAAGTGACAGATCTGCCCCATCCTGGTGGAGCTGTCTAAGCAGGTGCTATTGACAGGGTTAGGACTTCATGAACCTGTGTTAGGCTCTCGATTCTGAGTGTCTGTGCTTGAATTCTTATTCCAAGTTTTACAGATCAATGATCTGTATATTTGGACAGATGATGAGATAGAAGCTAATAGATTTTTAGCAATATAATACGTATTTTTTTAACTTGACTGGAAATGCTAACTAAAAACTGTCTTTGTAAGAGCCAGTTTTAAAAGATGTAACTCTCCCTCATCCCTCACAGAAGCCAAGTACAAGAAGCTGGAGAAGCGATGAGAAACTTATTTTTATGGGACAGAGTCTTTTTTTTTAATGTGGAAGAATGTCTTATAAAACCTGAATCCTGAGGCTGATGAATTGTGAAAACTCCTCAAAAGGAAACTATGCTGGTCATCCCAGGAACATCTCAACGTTAGAGTAAACTGGAGGACTGTGGCTATTCCTGAACCTTCTTTGAGGCAGAATCCCTCAGAATCTCACACTTACAACTCCCTACCTTTTACTTGAATGCTTTACCATATTCAGGACAGAGACTCTCACAAAGTTCAGAAAACAGCTGGGCTTACCAGTAAAATCAAATGAGAGGACCTATTTTCTCTGGTAGTGGTTGATTACTACATTATTTTCTTAAGTGGCTGGTTTTTGAGTTACTATGTAAATGGCTGTTTTTTCTGTTAATGATGCTAATGTGTTGTAAACAAGATTCTAAATTTAAAAAGGAAAACAAACTTGTTCTTTGCAGCTTATCACCTTGTGAATGTTGGTAACTTACTTTTCCATAATATTGCAAATAACATAAAATCTTAAAATAATTCCAAGCTGAGTCTTCTAGATTGAGCAGAAATGGTGAAAGGAGTATTGATAACTTGGCATATGTGATGGGCCCCTCTTGTTTATTTTCTGTGTGAGTCAGATTGACATGTGGCCAGTTTTAGAAATGTGATGAAAACAAAGACTAGATGGGTATGTGTGTTTATGTGTTGCGTGGGGAGTTGAGGATTGCCACTCATAAAATAAAGGATTTTATAAAATGCCTTCCTACTGTGTGTGTGGATCGGGGGGGATCTTAGGGACCTAATCGACTTCTTTTCACACTAAAGACATCAGACAATGGGACATACTGACTGACCAGTCTAGGTTGAAAGATAGGCATCCTTACCCAGAACACAACATTAGCAGCTGAGAAGGTGTCTGAGGTCCCCAATTACATATCCCAAAGAGTTTCTTACTTCTGTTTCTGTCGTTTCCCCTCTGTTCCAGATGGTCATCATTTATCCTCTGTTCTTCTGGACTGTTGCTGTGGGCTCTTCTCATCTTAACTGTCCCTCCATACCACCCTCCACACTGCTGCCAGAGCAGTCTTAAAAATATAAACTGGCCCTATTACTCCTGCTTAGAACCCTATAGTGACGTATCATGGCCTGTTTGAAAAAACTAGACTTTCATTACACATATAAGTCCCTTATGTTTTTTCGTTTGTTTATAGACAGGGTCTCTATTGTCACCCGGGCGGGCGTGTGGTGGTGTGATAATAGCTCACTACAGTCTTGACCTCTTGGGCTCAACTGATCCTCCCACCTCAGCCTCCTGAATAGCTAGGACTACCAGCATGCTCCACCATGCCTTGCTAATTATTTTTTATACAGATGGAGTCTCACTATGTTGTCCAGGCTGGTCTTGAACTGGCCTCAAGTGATTCTCTTACCACAGCCTGCCAGAGTGCTGGGATTGTAGGCATGAACCACCATGCCTAACATAAGGCCCTATTTAAACATCTTTTTAAAAGTTGTAATATGTATATTATTTTCTCCCATTATAGAAAATAAAAAAAGAAGAATTAAACTGTAACTCTACCATCTCAACATAGAATCAGTCTTACCCCTTCCAACCCTTTTCCTTTTCCATGCAAGTATTGATCTTTTTTTGTTTTTTTAGATGAAGTCTCGCTCTGTTGCCCGGGCTGGAGTGCACTGGTGCAATATCAGCTCACTGCAACCTCTGTCTCCCAGGTTCAAGCGATTCTCCTGCCTCAGCCTCCCAGGTAGCTGAGATTACAGGTGCCCACCACCACGCCAGGCTAATTTTTGTATTTTCAGTAGAGATGGGGTTTCACCACGTTGGCCAGGCTGGTCTCGAACTCCTGACCTCAAATGATCCACCCACCTCGGCCTCCCAAAGTGCTGTGATTACAGGCATGAGCCACTGCGCCCGGCCATATTGATCTATTTTTTAAAAGTTTTTATTTCCTGTTACACTGTGTTCAGCTATCTTTAGCCACCTTAAATTCCCATGGATGAGTTTTCATAAACTTTTTTAGAATAGATTGAGATTTACAGGAAAGTTGCAAAGATAATACAGAATTTCATGGATGAGGTTTTTATATTGATATGTAATAAATGTATGTATTTTCAGAGTACATGTGATAATTTAATACATGTATATAATGTATAAATATTAAATCAGAGTTATTGGGCTATCCATCACCTTAATATTTATTTTGTCTTTATGCTAGGAACATTATTTGAATTATTCTCTTCTACCTATTTTGAAATGTACAATAGATTAACATTAGCTATAATCACTCTTCTGATCTATCATAGGTCTTATTTCTTCTGTAGTTGTGTCCACTAATCAAACTCTTCATCCTCACATCCCCACTACCTTTCCTGGCCTCTGGTAACCACCAATCTACCTCCATCTCCATGAGATCCACTTTTTTAGCTCCCATATGTGAGTGAGAACATGTAATATTTGTCTTTTCTGTGCTTGGCTTAGTTCAGTTAACACAATGACCTCCAGTTTCATCCATGTTGCTGAGAATGACAGAATTACATTCCTTTTATGGCTGAACAATATTCCATTGTGTATATATACCACATTTTCTTTACCCATTCCTCCACTGATGGGCACTTAGGTTGATTCCATATTTTAGCTATTGTGAGTAGTGCTGCAATAAACATAAGAGTGCATATATCTCTTTGATAATATTGATTTCCTTTCTTTTGGACACATACCCAATAGTGGAATTTGCTGGATCATATTGTAGTTCTATTTTTAGTTTTTGAAGGAAACTCCATACAATTTTCCATAGTGGCTGTGCTAATTTACATTCCCACCAACTGTGTATAAGAGTTCCTCTTTCTCTGCATCCTTGCCAGCATCTGTGAATTCCTGTCTTCTTGATAGGAAATTTTAAGTGGGATGAGGTGATACCTTGTGGTTTTGATTTGCGTTTCTCTGATGATTAGTGATGTTGAGCATTTTTTCTTATAGCTGTTGGTCATTTGTATGTCTTGAGAAATGTCTATTTTGATCTTTTGCCCTGCCTCCTTTTTTCTTTTTTTAAGACATGAGTTCTCATTATGTTGTGCATGCTGGAATCAAACTGGACTCAAACAGTCTTCCTGGGGCTGGGCTCTATAGTGACTGAGGCCTGTAATCCCAGCACTTTGGGAGGCTGAGTAGGTGGACCATCTGAGGTCAGGAGTTCAAGGCCAGCCTGGCCAACATAGTGAAACCCTATCTCTACTAAAAATACAAAAAATTAGCCGGGCATGATGGTGAGCACTGTAATCCCAGCTACTTGGGAGGCTGAGGCAGGAGAATCACTTGGACCCCGGAGGTGGAGGTTGCAGTGAGCTGAGACTGCACCACTGCACTCCAGCCTGGGTGATAGAGTGAGATTCCATTCCCCCCCCACCCCCCCCCCCCAAAAAAAAAAAACACCGCCTGCTTCAGCCTCCTGAGTAGCTGGGACTACAGGCAAGCACCACCACATATGGCTTTGCCCATTTTAAGATAGGATTATTTGTGGGTTTTTTTGCTATTGAGTTGTTTGAGCTCCTTGTTTTATTTATTCTGGTTATTAATCCCTTATCAGATGGATAGTTTGCAAATATTTTCTTCCATTCTGTGGGTTGTCGCTTCACTTTGTTGATTGTTTCCTTTGCTGTGCAGAGCTTTTTAGTTTGATATAATCCTATTCGTCTATTTTTGCTTTTGTTGCCTGTACTTTTGAAGTTGTATACAAAAAATTTTTGCCCAGATCAATGTCTTGGAACATTTCCCCAGTGTTTTCTTCTGGTAGCTTCGTAGTTTGAGGTCTTAATTTAAGTCTTTAATCCATTTTGATGTGATTTTTATATATGGTGACAGACAGAGGTGAGTTTCATTCTTCAGTTTAGGGCTATCCAGTTCTTCAAGAATCATTTATTGAAGAGATTGTCCTTTCCTCATTGTATATTCTTGGCACCTTTGTACTTTCGGTACTGACTAAAATGAGTTGGTTGTAAATGCATGTATTTATATATGAGTTTTCTCTTCTGTTCCATTGGTCTATGTGTCTATTTTTATGTCAGTACCATACTGATTGGGTTACTATAGTTTTGTAGTAGATTTTTAGGTTGGGTAGCATCATGCCTTCAGCTTTGTGCTTTTTGCTCAGGATTGCTTTGGCTCTTTGGGGTCTCTTGTGGTTCCATATGGATTTTAGGATTTTTTTTCTATTTCTATTTCTTTGGAGCAGCAGTCCCTAACCTTTTTGGCACCTGGGACCGCTTTTGTGGAAGACAATTTTTCCATGGACGTGGGGGGATGTTTTTTTTTTTAATGATATGAACCATATTTATTGAAAACATTATTTCTCGCCTTTCTCAAATTGAAGACTGCAAAAAATAAGAGCAGTGCTTTACTGAGTTGTCATTAACCTTGAGAGCAGTGGCGCTGCCTCTCCACGCTCTGGGGACGGTGGAAACCGTGGCTGGTGTGTGCCACATCTATCCCACTTCGCTTTACAAAACAGTTCTGATGTCACTATCGTGGCCGGGCGCGGTGACTCACGCCTGCAATCCCAGCACTTTGGGAGGCCGAGGCGGGCAGATCACGAGGTCAAGAAGATCGAGACCATCCTGGCTAACACGGTGAAACCCCGTTTCCACTAAAAATACAAAAACAAAATTAGCCGGGCGTGGTGGCGGGTGCCTGTAGTCCCATCTCCTCTGGAGGCTGAGGCAGGAGAATGGCGCGAAGCCGGGAGGCGGAGCTTGCAGTGAGCCGAGATAGCGCCACTGTACTCCAGCCTGGGCGACAGAGCTAGACTCCGTCTCAAACAAAAACAAAAACAAAACAAAACAACAAACTATCGTACATGACATTTACATTAGAAAAAGAGAGCTGAAAGTAGGGATGGAGGATAGTTTGGGGATGAAACTGTTCCACTTTAGATCATCAGGCATCAGATTCTTGTAAGGTGCTCAGCGCCCTAGAACCCTCGCATGGGCAGTTCACAACAGGGTTCCAGCCTCTGTAAGAATCTGGCACCACCACTGATCTGATAGGAAGTAGCTCAGGCGGTTATTCTCACTTGCCCACCGCTCACCTCCTGCTGTGCATCCTGGTTCCTAACAGGCTACAGATGGGTACTGTTCCATAGCCCGGGGGTTGGGGATCCTTGCTGTAGAGAATGCCATTTGTATTTTGATAGGGATTGGATTGATCTGTAAATTGCTTTAGGTAGTGTTGTCTTTTTTTTTTTTTTTTTTTTTCTTTTTTGAGACGGACTCTCCCTCTGTTGCCCAGGCTGGAGGCTGGAGGGCAGCGGCGCGATCTCGGCTCACTGCAAGCTCCGCCTCCCAGCTTCACGCCATTCTCCTGCCTCAGCCTCCCGAGTAGCTGGGACTACAGGCGCCCGCCACCATGCCTGACTAATTTTTTTTTTGTATTTTTAGTAGAGACAGGGTTTCACCGTGTTAGTCAGGATGGTCTCGATCTCCTGACCTTGTGATCTTCCCACCTAATTATTCTAATCCATAAGCATGGAATATGTTTCCTTTTTGTGTGTGTGTCCTCTTTAATTGCTTTCATCAGTTTTTTAGTTTTCCTTTTATAGCTCTTTCACTTCTTTGGTTAAATTGATTCCTACGTAGTTTATATTCTTTGGTAGCTATTGTAAATGAGATTGCTTTCTTGATTTCTTTTTCAGTTTGTTTGCTGTTGGTGCATATAAATGCTACTGATTTTTGCATGTTGATTTGGTA